AAATAAAATAAAAATAGCTGGGTGTTGTGGCAGGCACCTACAGTCCCAGCTATTTGGGAGGCTGAGGCAAAAGAATCACTTAAACCCAAGAGTTCAAGAGTTTGAGGGTGCTGTGAGCTGTGACGCCAAGGCACTCTACTGAGGGCAACAAAATGAGAATCTGTCTCTAAAAAAAGAGAGAGAGAGAGAGAGAATGTGACCTATACAGAGGCAGAGATTTCTTACCCTGGCATATTCACTGCTGTGTATATTGCCTAGCGTATAAAACAGTAGGCACTTAATAAAAATCAGATGAATGAGTGAATAGATTATAATGAACTCCTCTTCCTTGTTAAGGTTCAGCTCAAAAATGATGCTCTTCCTTGAGCAAAATCCCCCCAGGGCCCTCCCTGTATCCTGCAGAAGCCTTCTGCCTGGCCCCAGGGCAGTCTGTGGCCCTTACCTGTTCACAAGTTAAGCAGGTGATAGATCAGTTTCCCCAGTGCTTGGCACAGAGCTGGGCATAATGTTATGTAAATGTGTGAATGAATGAATGAACATATGGCCGTGGCTGGGTTGAGGAGGGAGGCAGTATGTGCTTCTCAGGGATGGGAGGGGGCCCTGTACCTTCTCTCCAATCTCTGTCTGGTCTCCAGCAGGCAGCATCTCCAGGTCAGCCAGCAAAGCACAGGCCTCCAGAGTCTGTTGGTAGCGCTTGGGGTCCAGGGCTTGGCCAAACAGCACATTTTCCTGAAGAGTGCAGTTCTGGATCCACGCCTGCTGGGGCACGTAGGCCACGGAGCCCTGGCCACAGGAGGAGTTTACCTTGGGGCATGCCCGAGGCATGGCTGAGCCCCATGCCCTGCCCAGAAGCCCCGACCACTCTCACCTTCACGTGCACCTTGCCTTCCAGCTTCTCCATCTCTCCCAGCAGGGCAGATACCAGGGAGGACTTCCCACAGCCCACAGGCCCCACCACGGCCACCAGTGCCCCTTTTGGGACCTGGAAGTCTAGTCTGGGGGCAAGGAACCCCAAGAGTCCAGTCAGAGGTGGGGATCAGTGTTTTTGTTCCCAGCCTTCCAATGGAGACCCAGGCCCTCCTCCCTTCCAGATACCGCCCTGGCAAGCTGAGGCTCTTCCTGATTCTGGTCAAAGACTCTGGGGGTGGCTTGGTGCCTGTAGCTCAGTGGTTAGGGTGCCAGCCACATACACTAGGGTTGGCAGGTTCAAACACAGCCCCGACCTGCTAAACAACAATGACAACTGCAACAAAAAAAATAGCTGGGCATTGTGGCAGGCACCTGTAGTCTCAGCTACTTAGGAGGCTGAGGCAAGAGAATCTCTTAAGTCCAAGAGTGACACCAAGGCACTCTACCAAAGGTGACAAAGTGAGACTCTCTATCTCAAAAAAAAAAAAA